AACCTGCTTTCCTGGAAGTTACCAGCTTAGCATGTTTCTGGCAGATTAAGGCTTTGCCTCCCAGCTCAAGGCCTCAGTGGTTCTGGGGCAGCTGGTAGGAAGCTACGCTCCAGCAGTGCCTTGAGTTACTGCAGAAAGCACAGCTTACCCCTAAAACTTTGGCAGCTCCAGCAGAAGCCCTGGATAGCAGGGTCCGACGGCTGGTCTCAGGTCAGTAGGGGCAGCCAGCAGCCAGATGAAGATTGTTTTGAGTTCTGGGAGGCAGGTTTACATTGAGTTTGTCGCCTTTGGGGCAGTGAATTCCTCGTGCCATCATAGAACTTTCTGCAGACTAGGTGTTTGGGTGGTCAGAGGGTCAGATTTATTTGGGAGTGGCAGGTGAGAACTCTGGGATAGAAGATGGTCTTTCTGATTTGGAAGAGAAGCATGGTCCTGTGCTGTGGCTTGGGGATGAGCTGGCAGTGGATGGTAGATAGGGGGCATCAGCTGGGAGGCCGGGCTGCTCTGACTGAGCCAGGGCCACAGTAGCTGCCCAGGGAGAAAGGACCAGAGCTCTGGCAGGTGCACATTTGTTAGGCTAGAGCAATATCTCTCTAGAGCTGCTGCTAGCCAGCGAGGGCAAATCTCTGGGCAGTGGAAGGCAGGAGTAGCTCCGGCCTAATGGCAGCCAGAAAAGAAGCTGCAGGAGGATACTTACTTGTTGTGGAAGAGGTGGAGGCCTGAAACCCCAAGGACTGAGAATCCTGCTCTCAATTTTTGATTGACTAAAGGTAGCTTTTTTCATTGGTGGAGGAAGTCTCCTTCCTCAGCCTCCTGAGTAGCTGGGATTACAGGCATATGTCACCCAGCCTGACTAATTTTTGTATTTTTGGTAGAGACGGGGTTTCGCCATGTTGGCCTGACTGGTCTGGAACTCCCAACCTCAGATGATCCGCCCACCTTGGCCTCCCAAAGTGCACGGTGCTTGGCCTCATTTGTTATTTTTAATAAGCATTGAGACCTAATTGGGGCATCCTTGATGTTTTCACTGAGAACCATTTATCCAGAACAAGACCTGAGCACTTTCACTAGAAGTATTCAGAATATGCTCTGAATGGAAGGTTCATTAATTCCAAATGAGCAAAGAATTTGAGCAGTCATCTGTGACCATGGCCAAGGATGGCTTAAGGGAATTCGGCTCCACCCCTCATCTCCAATGGCCCCTTAAATCCAGCTTCCCAAGATTAAGAAGCCCATGTAAAGGGAATAAAAATACCTTCATAATACTGTGGTTTTCATTGATCTGGGGGAAAAAACACACACACACACACACATACTAACAGTGTGCTTACAGTGCAAACAGCTTCCAGTAAAGCTTCTGGCCCTCCTCTCCTCCCCCTCACTAATCCCCTCAAGCTGATTGATGCCCCAACTGGTCTCTTAAATTGTTCGTCCAATAGGCTCATTCTTTCTGAGCAGTTCTTGTGAAAACAAAAGCTTTGCTTTTTCTTTTCTTTTTTAATTTTTATTTTTTTAGACAGTCTCACTGTGTTGCCAGGGGCTCATTGCAACCTCTGCCTCCCGAGTTCAAGCAATTCTCATGCTTCAGCCTCCTGAGTAGCTGGGATTACAGGCATTGGCCACCACACCTGGCTAATTTTTTAATTTGTATTTTTAGGAGAGTCAGTGTTTCACCATGTTGGCCAGGCTGGTCTCGAACTCCTGGCTTCCAAGTGCTGGGTTTACAGGTGTGAGCCACTGCGCCTGGCTTATCTAATAAATTTTTATTAAATAAACATACTCAGTACACAGAAGCATTTCTACATGTATGTTTATTGTGTTCGTTTTCTTATTCTATAAGCAGCTGCTTTTGTTACTTTACAGTGTGGCTTGGGCATCTTGCACCTTCAATATATATACATCAATTGCATATTTTAATGGGACTGTGTAGTATTCTATTAGGCAGATGCACAGAATGTGTTTTCCAAGTCCTACAGTGATAGCTATGTGGTTGATTTCTAGTTTTTGCTGTTACAGACAATGCTCTTGAGACTCTCTTGTTACCTCTGTCGTTGCCTATCTGTGCTTTTCTGTAGGGTGTATCCCCGGAAGTAAAATTGTTGCAGCAAAGGCAATGCACATTTGACTTCCAAATTACCCTGCAGATAGGTGGTTTTCCAGTTTGTATTTCAGCTAGGAGTGTCAGGGGGCCCTGTGGACTAATGCTGTGACAACCCTACTGCTAAAAACCTACAATGACACTTCCAGATCTTTTGTTAAGTCCTTAGTGTAAGGTCAGCCGAGAGAAAGAATAGACCCAAAGCCTGGCAAGCAAGTTTTATTACCCTGCCTTGCTGCTCTGTAACTGTCAGAGGAGGCAGCCCCAAGCTTACAAAATGAGGGGTTTATATGGGGTAAGAGGGCTGTAAGGGAGTTTCAGGACTGAGGTGATCTTATCAGCTTGTAACAGGCACAGAGATGGTTTGTTTACTTGTGACAGATTTATAATACATCATCCTGTGACTTTTCTGGCAGCAGTTTAAAAAACAGGATTTTACAGGAATTTACAGGTATGGATAACAAACATTTTTGTTTTCCTTGACCTTCTCGGAGCTGCCCGGATGACTGTAATGAGGCTTTGCTTAATTGTAGCAGGTCTGGCAGCCTTGATATGGGGCCTAGGCAGGACTTCAGGAATGCGGCTACAGAGCAAGCAGACTTGGGGGAAGGGGCCAGCTAGCACAGAGGGAGTTTTCTAAAGCAGCTTATCCCTAACACTTAGTCTGCTGTCAAACTCCCCATAAGGTGTCCCTCATCTGTCTTTATAGCTTTAACTGTTACTGCTCTTATAAAGCCTCTGCACTTTGGTAAAGCCCGCAGTTTTTAATCAGGGTAGTTTTGTACCTCCCACCCCCCAGGGACATTTGACAATGTCTGGAAATATTTTTGGTTGACAAGGCTGGGAAGGGAGTACTGCTGGCAGGAGGTGCCTCTCCATATCCTACAGTGCACAGTGCCGCCCCACAATGAAAAGTCATCTGGTCCAAATGTCGGTAGGGTGGCGGAGGGCGGTGGTCAAGAAACCCTGCTGAGCTAAGTTCTTCACTTGCTACTTACCCGCCTCTAGCCAAGGATGGACAGCGGGTATTATCTAATGTGTCACTGCCAGTCCCTGCCTAAGGGTAGCTAGAGAGCTATCTTGAGGATTCTAAGAGTGGGGGAGGGGCTGAAATGCTACATGGGCTGTTTAACAAATCGTAAAGTCACCACATTCCAGCTAGGTGGTTTTCCAGCTAGGGTGCCTCATGGATAGTTTTTCATACATAGTTGATGATTAGGTATACCTTAAGGTTGCCTGAATGACAGACACCTTAAGAGTGATTAGAGCTCTGTAGAAGGCCAGCTCTCTTAACCTGTACAGTTGTTTACCTGCTATTTGTCTTCAAACATTTCTATTTTTTTTTTAATATTTATTTCATATCCTAAAGAGCTTTGAAATCCTAATAGGAGGTGATGGATTGGTGTTTACTGCATTGTCTTTGAAGTGATTGTGGAATGAATATAATTGTATAGCTTTCCATTTTAGAAGAGTTGAGTGAGCAAAAGGTCAAGAAAGAGCCAGCAGGCATTGCTTGCAAAGTTTACAATTACTTCTGGAATGTTGACCCTACCAATTGGTACTTGGGGTTGTGCCTCTTATGGGGGAATTATTTTTGTTGGTTTGGGTTTTTTTGGTTTTCTAGGGGGTTTTTTTGAGACTATCTTACTCTGTTGCCCTGGCAGGAGTGCAGTAGCATGATCTCAGCTCACTGCGGCCTCTGCCTCCCAGGTTCAAGCAATCTCCCACCTCAGTGTCTGGAGTAGCTGGGACTAGCCACACTCAACTAATTTTTGTGTTTTTTGTAGAGATGGGGTTTTACTGTATTGCCCAAGCTAGTCTTGAACTCCTGGGCTCAAGCGACCTGCCCACCTTGGCCACCCAAAGTGTCGGGATTGTAATTGTGAGCCATTGTGCCCAGCCATGGTGGGGGGCATGATTTAGGTCAATTTTGAACTCTTTTTTTTTTTTTTTTTTTTTTTTCCAGCTTGAGGGTATAGGGTTGGTCAGCTTTTTCTGTGAGGGGCCAGATAGTAAATATTTTAGGTTTTATGGGCCATGTGGTCTGTGTCACTGTTATCAGCTTTGCCCTTGAAGCTGGAAAGCAGCCATAAACAATACTTAAATGAAAGGGCAGCTGGGCACGGTGGCTCATGCCTGTAATCCCAGCACTTTGGGAGGCTGAGGCGGTGGATCACCAGGTTAGGAGTTCCAGACCAGCCTGGCCAAGATGGTGAAACCCTGTCTTTTGAGAGAGAGAGAGAGAAAAAAAAAAAAAAAGAAAGGGCATGGGTTGAATAAGTGTGTGTGTACAGAACTCTTGTGAATGGTTTCAGATAAGCGTGTATATATAAAAGTATTATGAATAGGTTCAGATAAGTCTATGTAAAAGCTGGTGGTGGCCTGTGGGCAGTAGTTTGTTGAGCCCTCTAAAACCATCAATACTTGAATATTTGACTGATGAACCCTACTTTGTAACTAAATGGTGCTGAAGGTGGGGTGCAGTGCCTGTAATCCCTGCCCTTTGGGAGGCTAAGGTGGGCGGATGGTTTGAGCCGAGGAGTTCAAGACCAGTCTGGGATCATGATGAGACCCCCCCCCCCTGCCATCTCTAAAGAAAAAAAGAAAAAAAAATTTAGCCAGGCATGGTAACACATGCATGTAGTTCCAGCTATTCCAGAGGCTGAGGTGGAAGAACACCCAGACCTACAAGGTCCAGGCTGCAGTGAGCCATGATGGTGCCACTTCACTACAGCCTGGGTGACTAGAGTGAGACCCTGTCTTTAAAAATAACAATTATTCAAAAAAATAGGAAAAAAGAAATGGTGTTGGAAATGAAATCCCTGGTTCTGATGAGTACCCTCTGCAATGATTGTCATGGGAAAGGCAGTGATTCACCACCTTTCTTTGTCTTCCCTCACAGAGATGTGGTATGGTGTGTTCCTGTGGGCACTGGTGTCTTCTCTCTTCTTTCATGTCCCCGCTGGATTACTGGCCCTCTTCACCCTCAGACATCACAAATATGGTAGGTTCATGTCTGTAAGCATCCTGTTGATGGGCATCGTGGGACCAATTACTGCTGGAATCTTGACAAGTATGTTAGACATTAAAATACCAGTCAAAAATGTTTAATATGACTAGTCAATTTCAGGACCTATTTTAGAAACATACCTGAGTAGGATGAAAGGAAGAGTGGCTTTTAACCACAAGTCCTTTATTAATTAATTATTTATTTGAGACAGGGTCTCCCTATGTCACCAAGGCTGGAGTGCAGCCAATCTTGGCTCACTGCAGCCTCGGCCTCTTGGGCTCTAGCAGTCCTCCTACATCAGCCTCTCAAGTAGCTGGGACTACAGATGCGTGCCCAGCTAATTTTTTTCTATTTTTTGTAGAGACAGGGTTTTGTCATGTTGCCAGGTCTCAAACTCCTGAACTCAAGCAATCCACCCACCTCAGCCTCCCAAAATTCTGGAATTACAGGCGTGAGCCACTGCACCTGGCCCCAGTTTTTTAATGTGTATGTTTTTTTTCTTACCCCCAGTGCCCTGTTACTTGGGTAACCTCTTTGACTTGCTGACTCAGATTTCATCTCAGTGGCTTCAGGGAAGTCATGCTAAGCTTTGTGAGATACATCCTGTGAGGCACGCCACCAGCAAAAAGAAAATATCTTTTTGGAAGCTACTTCTCCTTTCTGATCAGCTATCATCACTTGAGGGTTGGTGCTGCAAGATGGTGATGAATTACTTCCACTCATGTGGGTGTGGTTGCTGTAAAGATAGAAGACAAATTCTCTTTTTTTTTTTTTTTTTTTTTTTTTTTTTTGAGGCGGAGTTTCGCTCTTGTTACCCAGGCTGGAGTGCAATGGCATGATTTCAGCTCAACACAACCTCTGCCTCCTGGATTCAGGCAATTCTCCTGCCTCAGCCTCCCGAGTAGCTGGGATTACAGGCACGCGCCACCATGCCCAGCTAATTTTTTGTATTTTTAGTAGAGACGGGGTTTCACCATGTTGACCAGGATGGTCTCGATCTCTTGACCTCGTGATCCACCCGCCTCGGCCTCCCAAAGTGCTGGGATTACAGGCTTGAGCCACCACGCCTGGCCCAGAAGACAAATTCTTATGACAAGAATTCTTTGCCAGGTGTAATGGCTCGTGACTGTAATCCCAGCACATTGGGAGACTGAGGTGGCAGGCTTGCCCAGGAGTTTGAGACTAGCCTGAACAACATAGCAAGACCCCACCTCTACAAAATAAAAATTTTAAATTGGCCAGGCGCAGTGCCTCATGTCTGTAATCCCAGCATTTTGGGAGGCTGAGGCAGATAGATCATGAGGTCAGGAGTTCGAGACCAGCCTGGCCCACATGGAGAAACCCCATCCCTATTTTTTTGGGGGGGGTTCTTGTTCTCTTGCCCAAACTGGAGTGCAATGGCACCATCTCGGTTTACTGCAACCTCTGCCTCCTGGATTCAAGCAATTCTCTTGCCTCAGACTCCTGAGTAGCTGGGATTACAGGCATGTGCCACCACAACTGGCTAATTTTTGTGTTTTTAGTAGAGACGGAGTTTCTCCATGTTAGTCAGGCTGGTCTTGAACTCCTGACCTCGTGATCCACCCGCCTTAGCCTCCGAAAGTGCTGAGATTATAGGCATGAGCCACTATGCCTGGCCATCCCCGTGTCTATTAGAAACACAAAATTAGCCAGCTATGATGGCACATGGCTGTAACCCCAGCCACTTGGGAGACTGAGGCAGGAGAATCGCTTGAACCCAAGAGGCAGAGGTTGTGGTGAGCCATGATTGCACCATTGCACTCCAGCCTGAGCAACAGGAGCGAAACTCTTGTCTCAAAAAAAAAAAAAAAAATTTTAGCCGGGCACGGTGGCTCAAGCCTGTAATCCCAGCACTTTGGGAGGCCAAGGCAGGTGGATCACAAGGTCAAGAGATCAAGACCATCCTGGTCAACATGGTGAAACCCCATCTCTATTAAAAATACAAAAAATTAGCTGGGCATGGTGGCGCATGCCTGTAATCCCAGCTACTCGGGAGGCTGAGGCAGGAGAATTGCCTGAACCCAGGAGGCAGAGGTTGCAGTGAGCCGAGATCGCGCCATTGCACTCCAGCCTGGGTAACAAGAGCGAAACTCCGTATCAAAAAAAAAAAATTTTTTTAATAAATAAAAAAAAATAAAAAATTTAGCTGAGTGTGATAGTACACCTGTGGTTCCAGCTACATGGGAGGATTGCTGCAGCCAGGAGGTCCAGGCTGGGCTGCAGTGAGTCTCTTTTTTTTGAGACGGAGTTTCGCTCTTGTTACCCAGGCTGGAGTGCAATGGCGCGATCTCGGCTCACTGCAACCTCTGCCTCCTGGGTTCAGGCAATTCTCCTGCCTCAGCCTCCCGAGTAGCTGGGATTACAGGCACGCGCCACCATGCCCAGCTAATTTTTTGTATTTTTAGTAGAGATGGGGTTTCACCATGTTGACCAGGATGGTCTCGATCTCTTGACCTCATGATTCGCCCACCTCGGCCTCCCAAAGTGCTGGGATTACAGGCATGAGCCACCACGTCCAGCCTGCAGTGAGTCTTCATCCCACCATAGCACTTCAGCCTGTGCAACAGAGCAAGACCCTGTCTCAAAAAAAAAAAAAAAAAGGAATTCTTCCTTAGAAAAGGACCTAATTAGTGCTCTGGGAAAAGGACCTAATTAGTGCTCTGGTTACTTTTTTCCCCTTTTAGCACTTTCTGAATAAGAACTGGAGTAACGTGATGTTATAAATTATTTTCAGGCCTGTTTTGGGGGCATTTGTTTTGTTAAGGCTTTTGCTTATGTGATAAGACACAGTTACAGAAATGAGAGCAGTCTCAGTTTAAATCATTTTAAAGCTCAGTTATAAATATAAATGTATAGTTTATATAAACTAAAATTATAAGTAATTAAAATGTAAAATCCTCAATTTTTCCATCCCTAAGTAATAGCCAGAGTTTCCATCTTGGTGTGTATGTCTTTTTTGGGGTATATATATAAACATATTCTACCCAGCCCACTCTGTGTCCCTAAATTTTGAAGGGGCCCAGTGAAACATGCCTTTCAGATGTTTGTGACAAAATGTATGCATTGCCAGTGGAGGTGGGCATTTAAAATCACTGAATGTTCAAGGGAGCCAACTTTGGGTTAATATTGTTTTTTCTTTAAAATATGTTAATATACCTTCATATCATATTTATGAAATGTGCCAGGCTTATTCCTGTAATCCCAGCACTTTGGTAGGCCAGGTTGGGAGGATCGCTTAAGTCCAAGAGTTCAAAACCAGCCTGGGTGATGTAGTGAGACCTTGTCTGTACAATAAATAAATAAACAAAATAGCCAGGCCCGCTGCACGTTTTGTCCCGCGTGTTGTCCCGTCCACCTCTTGACTCGCCGCTCTTGTCCTTCCTCCCGCTTTTCCTTCTCTCCCCTTGTGGTCTGACGATGCCCTCGGCCACTAGCCACAGCGGGAGCGGCAGCAAGTCTTCTGGACCGCCGCTGCCGTCGGGTTCCTCTGGGTGTGAGGCGGCCACGGGAGCTGGGGCCACCGCGCCGGCTTCTCAGCACCCTGCAACTGGCGCCCGCGCTGTGTAGACCAAGGCTATGAAGCAGATCCACGGGGTGATTAACAAGAAACTTCGGAACCTGGAGAAGAAAAAGGGTAAGCTTGATGATTGAATGAACAAAGGGGGAAGGCTTAATCAAGATCAGCTGGATGCCGTTTCTAAGTACCAGGAAGTCACAAATAATTTGGAATTTATAAAAGACTTACAGAGGAGTTTCATGGCACTAAGTCAAGATATTCAGAAAACAATAAAGAAGACAGCACGTTGGGAGCAGTTTATGAGAGAAGAAGCTGAACAGAAACGTTTAAAAACTGTGCTTGAGCTACAGTATGTTTTGGACAAATTGGGAGATGATGAAGTGCGAACTGACCTGAAACAAGGTTTGAATGGAGTGCCAATATTGTCCGAAGAGGAATTGTCATTGTTGGATGAATTCTGTAAGTTAGAAGACCCTAAACGGGATGTGAGCTGGAGGTTGAATGAACAGTATGAACATGACTCCATTCACTTGTGGGACCTGCTGGAAGGGAAGGAACAATCTGTATGTGGAACCACCTATAAAGTTCTAAAGGACATTGCCAAGTGTGTTTTTCAGTCAAACTACTTTGACAGCACCCACAACCACCAGAATGGGTTGTGTGAGGAAGAAGAGGCAGCCTCAGCACCTACAGTTGAAGACCAGGCAGCTGAAGCTGAACCTGAGCCAGCGGAAGACTACACTGAGCAAAATGAAGTTGAATCAACACAGTATGTAAATAGACAGTTCATGGCGGAAACACAGTTCACCAGTGGTGAAAAGGAGCCAGGTAGATGAGTAGACAGTTGAAACAATTGAGGTGGTAAATTCACTCCAGCAGCAGCCTCAGGCCTCATCCCCTTCAGTACCAGAGCCCCACTCTTTGACTCCAGTGGCTCAAGCAGATCCCCTCCTGAGAAGACAGTGAGTACAAGACCTTATGGCACAAATGCAGGGTCCCTATAATTTCATACAGGATTCAGTGCTGGATTTTGAAAACCAGATACTTGATGCTGCCATTGTATCTGCACAGCCTGTGAATCCAGCACAAAACATGGACATGCCCCAGCTGGTTTGCCCTCCAGTTCATTCTGATTTTAAACTTGCTCAGCCTAATCAAGTTCCTGTACAACCAGAAGCTACACAGGTTCCTTTGGTGTCATCCGCAAGTGAGGGGTATATAGCATCACAACCCCTGTATCAGCCTTCTCCTGCTACAGAGCAACGGCCACAGAAGGAACCAGTTGTTCAGATTCAGGCAACAATCTCTTTAAATACAGACCAGACTACAGCATCATGATCCCTTCCTGCTGCTTCTCAGCCTCAAGTATTTCAGGTTGGGACAAGCAAACCTTTACCAGTGGAATCAATGTAAATGCAGCTCCATTCCAATCCATGCAAATAGTGTTCAATATGAATGCCCCAGTTCCTCCTCTTAATGAACCAGAAACTTTAAAACAGCAAAATCAGTACCAGGCCAGTTATAACCAGAGCTTTTCTAGTCAGCCTCACCAAGTAGAACAAACAGCTTCACCAAGAACAGCTTCAAACAGTGGTGGGCACTTACCATGGTTTTCCGGACCAGTCCCATCAAGTGACTGGTAACCACCAGCAGCCTCCTCAGCAGAACACTGGATTTCCACGTAGTAGTCAGCCCTATACAATAGCTGTGGTGCGTCTTGTAGAGGTTCCCGTGGTGCTAGAGGCTTGATGAATGGATACCAGGGCCCTGCCAATGGATTCAGAGGAGGATATATGATGGTTACCGCCCTTCATTCTCTAACACTCCAAACAGTGGTTATACAGAGTCTCAGTTCAGTGCTCCCTGGGATTACTCTAGCTATCAACGGGATGGCTATCAGCAGAATTTCAAGTGAGGCTCTAGGCAGAGTGGACCCTGGGGAGCCCCATGAGGTAATATTTTGTGGTGGTGATCCTAGCTTCTAAATGGAGCTTCTGTTCTGGCCTTGGAAGAGCTGTTCATAGTATGCATGTTAGGAATACATTTATCCTTTCCAGACTTGTTGCTAGGGATTAAATGAAATGCTCTGTTCCTAAAACTTAATCTTGGACCCAAATTTTAATTTTTGAATGACTTTCCCTGTTACTATATAAATTGTCTTGAAAACTAGAACATATTCTCTTCCTGAGAAAAAGTGTTTTTCCAACTGAAAATTATTTTTGAGGTCCTAAAACTTAGTAAATGTTTTTAGGAAGTATTTACTGAAACATTTTTGTAAGACATTTTTGGAATGAGATTGAGTATTTATATAAATTGATTATTCCTCTTCATTTTTTGAAACATGCCTATTATATTTTAGGGCCAGACACCCTTTAATGGCCAGATAAGCCATAGTTAACATTTAGAGAACCATTTAGAAGTGATAGAACTAATAGAATTTGCAGTGTCTTTTGGACTTCTATTAGTGATATAAATATCAAGTCTGACTTTTAAACAAAACTCCCAAATTTCTAACTTATTAAATTATACTTAAAAAAAATATAGGTTTGAAGAGTTTTTGTTTTTCTTTTACTTTTAGAAAACTACTTCCCATTTTGACAGGAAGTTAACCTGTTTAACAATTAGTTAGCATTTCATGTAGTCTGAAATTGTAAATGGTTCTCTGATTTGAGGGAGGTTAAACATCAAATAGGTTTCCTCTGTTTATCAGCCATAGCATGTGTAAAATGTGTGTTAAGGAGGAATTACAAAGTACTTTGATTTGAATGCTAGTAGAAACTGCCCAGGAAAAAGGAACATTTTTCTAAAAATTAATGGATCACTTGGGAATTACTGACTTGACTAGAAGTATCAAAGGATATTTGCGTGTGAATGTGGGTTATGTTCTTCTTTCCCACCTTGTAGCATATTTGATGAAAGTTGAGTTAACTGATAGTTAAAATCTGTTTTAACCGCATGTAAAAAGTGATTTAATCTGTTAAAAGTGATTAACCAATTTTCAATGTTATGTAGTTTCTTTTTAACAGTTTAGGTAATAAGGTTTGTTTTCATTCTGGTGCTTTTATTAATTTTGATAGTATGATGTTACTTACTACTGAAATGTAAGCTAGACTGTACACTAGAATTGTAAGCTCCATGAGAGCAGGTACCTTATCTGTCTTCACTGCTGTATCTGTTCCCAACGCCTGATGACAGTGCCTGGCACTTAGTAGGCACTCAATAAATACTTACTGAATGAAAAAAATAAAATAAAATAAAATAACCAGGCATGGTGGCTGGTGTGTGCCTGTAGTCCCAGCTGCTCGGGAGGATCAGTGGAGCCCAGGAGGTTGAGGCTGCAGGGAGCTGTGATCATGCCACCACATTCTAACCTGGCCGAAAGAGTGAGACACTGTCTCAAAAATAATAATAATAATTGTAAACATGTGATTCAGACACTGTGTATTACTTTGCATTATTGCAAATCTGTTTCTGTCTTGTGTCCCCGTCTAGATTCCAAGTACCTTGAGAATAGGGACCATACTTTATAAAACACAGAAGTGTTCTGCAGATAAAAATTTGAGTGAATGAATACACTATGACCAAGGAGAATTTTGTTTGAAGCATCTTGTTGGGGAGGGTAATCTGGGAAATCTGGATCTATTATTTTTTTAATTTTTGTTTATTTCTGTTTGAGACAGGTCTTGCTCTGTCACCCAGGCTGGAGTGCAGTGACATAGTCATAGTTCACTGCAGCCTCCACCTCCCAAGATCAAGTATTCTGCTACCTTAGCCACCCAAGTAACTAGGATTACAGGCACATACCACCACAGCCAGATAATTTTTGTATTTTTTGTAGAGACAAGGTTTTGCCATGTTGTCCAGGCTGAACTCCTGGGCTCAAGGGATCTTCCTGCCTCAGCCTTCCAAAATGCTGGGATTACAGGCTTGAGCCACCATGCCTGGCTGGATTTTTTTTGTTTTTTTGAGATAGGGTCTTGCTCTGTTGCCCAGGCTTGAGTGCATCACTGTGATCTCGACTCACAGCAACCTCTGCCTCCTGGGTTCAAGCAACTCTCCTGCCTCACTCTCCCAAGTGGTTGGGATTATAGGCTGTGCCATCATGCCCGGCTAATGTTTTGTATTTTTAGTAGAGATGGGGTTTCACCATGTTGCCCAGGCTGGTTTCAAAGTCTTGAGCTCAGGTGACCCACCCACCTCGGCCTCCCAAAGTATTAGGATTACAGGCGTGAGCCACCGTGCCCAGCTGGATCTATTCCTTTCAAACAAATGAAATGTTGACTTTGTTGGTACAATGCTGAACTCCTATAGTAACTCAGATGGGTATCTGCGTAGATACAGGGGTTTTTGTTTTGTTTTTTCAATTTGCAGGAAGTTTTAGTGACTAACATAATAAAAACCATCAATGACTGTGTAACACGAATCCCTAAGTATCTCTCCCCTCATGCCCTTTGAATTAATAACCACTTTATGGCTTAGGGTCCTCCTCTCTTCCTTTCTCACCCCTCTACTCCTTCCTCCATCCACTTCTTTCTTTCTTTTTTTTTGAAATGGAGTCTTACTCTGTCACCAGGCTGGAGTACAGTGGGGCATTCTGAGCTCACTGCAGGCTCCAGCTCCCTGGTTCAAGCGATTCTCCTGCCTCAGTTTTCTGAGTAGCTGAGATTACAGGCATGCACCACCATGCCCAGCTAATTTTTGTATTTTTAGTAAAGATGGAGTGTCACCATGTTGTCCAGGATGGTCTCAATCCCCTGGCCTCGTGATCTGCCCACCTCGGCCTCCCAAACTGCTGGGATTACAGATGTGAGCCACCGCACCCAGCCTCCATCCACTTCTTGAAGGGAACTCTGAGTATTATCGAAGGTGGAGCGGCGATTCCCTGTGACCTGAAACATTGCTTGCTTAGTCTAACTCAAAAGATTCTTTTTCATTTGTTGCCAACAATGTATTAGGTCCCTATTACTGGTAGGGGAATAAACAGTTACTTTTGAGTTCATAATGCGGTTGTGCGAATTGCTGTCTTTGTGATTTTGATTATTTCTTCCAGATTATTTTATTCAGTAAATCTGGGAGACTCTTGTTTTTAAGGAGTCAGCAACTAAAAGTGATCGCAAACTTTGTAATGAATACTCAAAGCCTAGACCGGTCCATAGAAAGAATAGGGAAAAACTAACATTTCTATGACAGTTAAATTTCAATATAAAAATCTGGAACATTCTACTTATAGTAGTATTTTAAGTGTTGTATTTTCATGAGTTTGTTAACCTTGGTTTTTTGTTTTTGTTTAACGCCCTTGCATTTTAAATCAGGTGCAGCTATTGCTGGAGTTTACCGAGCAGCAGGAAAGGAAATGATACCATTTGAAGCCCTGACTTTGGGCACTGGACAGACGTTTTGCGTCGTGGTGGTCTCCTTTTTACGGATTTTAGCTACTCTATAGTATACATCCTTATGCCAAGATGTTGAACCTAAACTTTATGGAATCTGCCAAAAGAATACATTAGGGAGTGTAGAGTTTTCTTAGTTCTTCAAATGAAGCAACTTGGATGAACGGGAATGTGAAGGACAACGTCTTAGCCTTTTCTTCAGTTTGAAGTTCCTAGAATTGAAGACTTTCATGGACTCCCATCCTTCTCAACCAAAACAAAACAAGTCTTCTGGCTTTCTTTTTTGTAGATACTTAATTTAAGCAGTTTTCACATGTACCTTTACCCAAGTCAAGTCAACCATGTCTCTGGGGTGGTATCCCTTGCACTGAAATTTACAGTATTCTGTGAGATGTTGCGTATTTTAGAAAACTATGGAAGATACTGGTTTATTTCAAATGAGCAGAGTATGTTGTATTAAAATCTTAGTTTATCTAATCTTGATTAATATTTGGTAAACTCTTTTCTTTACTACATCTTAGTGACAGTAAATGCCAAATAGGTTTTGGTTGAGTATAGCTTTGAAAACAAATCTGATGAAATAAAACAGGAAAAAAAATTTAAACACAACTCAAGTAGCGGCTGTGGTTCCACTAAGTAAAAAGTAGGTAACAATGAATAATGTGATATTTTCTGGACAACTTTCTTGACCTCTGATTAAGATATTTTAAGAGATGTGAATTTGTTATTTTGTATGTTTTATTTAAATAAGCTAGCTAATTTAGACTTTTCAGATTTTCTCTACCACCTTTCCCTATCACTTTTAATTCTCTTGATCTTATTTTATTTAATTGGAAACACACATACCCTATTAAATGGCTTGAGTTGGAAATTTTAAGCCAGATTGGTTTGGACATTGAGGCACAAGTAAGATTCTTTAAACATTCTGTTGTAGTTTTTCTTAGTAACTTTTGTTTACTAATGACCCTTGAGACACTGTAGAAGTGCATCTGAAACTAAAGTTAGTGGTTATTGATTTTTTAGCTTAACGTGTTTGCCTACGGGTGACTCTTCAGCCTAATTCTACAGTATTGGGTATCAAGTCCCAGAAGGTGCCTGAAGTTTAATTTCAGATGTGTACCCACTCTCCCCTTTAGATTTTTTATTCAAAAGAATGTATATCTTTAAAGAGAGTTAAATATCAATAGTTTTTTTAAATTTAATTTTTAACTATTTTATTTTATTACTTTTTTGAGACGGAGTCTCACTCTGTCGCCCAGACTGGAGTGCAGTGGCACAATCTTGGCTCACTACAACCTCCGCCTCCCAGGTTCAAGTGATTCTCCTGCCTCAGCCTCCTAAGTAGCTGGGAGTACAGGTGCCTGCTGCCATGCCCGGCTATTGTTCGTATTTAGTAAAGACGGGGCTTCGCCATGTTGGCCAGTCTGGTCTCGAACTCCTAACCTCAGGTGAGCCACCTGCGTTGGCCTCCCAAAGTGCTGGGATTATAGGCGTGAGCCACTACCCAGCCAATTTTAGCCATCTTAATTTTTATTTTACTGCCTAACTTTCTTTTTCATTAAAAGGCCTGAAAACTGTGACTTTCTGAAAGGGAAAGGATCGCAGAAATTAAGTATCTAATTTGATCCTTACCACCTAAACTCTTTTCTGTTGAATACAATCAGTGTGGTGGTAGTGATTGTTATCTTTCTTCAGGATAGTTCCTGGTGATGAAATCTGACATCTTTAAAGGAAAGTTTTCATTGTGAGATTAAGGCTAACAATTTATGAGGTTATATATACATGAACATATCTATTCCATTTAAAGCAATATGCACTCTGGCTTCTGATTAAAAATAGCCAGGAGGAGAGTCTCTGAATGTACTATGATTCTGGAGTCTGCCCAATTTGAGGAAAAAAAAAAAAAAGGAAAAGGAGGACCAGTTTGCCAGGGAAACTCATAGAAAAGAATTACAAAGAGATCACAAAAATTGGACATTTTCTTTTGAGTAATTAGACCACTTGTGGCTGGTTGCAGTGGCTCACACCTGTAATCCCAGCACTTTGGGAGATTGATTTGGGAGAATTGCTTGAGCCCAAGAGTTCAAGACTGGCCTGGGCAACATAGCAATACTTTGTCTCTTCTAAAAAACAAAACAAAACAAAACAAAACAAAACAAATAGCTGGGTGTGGTCCCAGCTACTGAGGAGGCTAAAGTGAGAGGATCACTTGTTCCTGGGAGGTTCAGAATGCTGTGAGCCATGATAGCGCCGCTGAACTCCCAGCTTACGTGACAAGGCAAGACCCTGTCTCAATATTATTAATTTTGATAATTGACGTATCAAAATTAGTGACATATACTCAGCAGAAACTTGTATGTAGAGTTGTAATTCAGCCACGTATTCTTAAAAATTCCCCAACAAGAAGCTCGAATCTTTTCTTCCAAGCAGATTGCAAAAAATTCTAGTTTTTAGTTTAAAAAGCTGTGATATTCAGAAGTATCCCTTCAGTTTGAGAAATTTGGGGAATTTTTATCTTTTATTATGGGAAATGATTTCCATCATCTCTATTGAAGCATGCCTCTTACTGAAGAATGCCTGTTGAATGAGTTCTCACCTGAAACATTCTTTGGATATAATTTCATACACAAAACATGTGGGCCAGTAGTTAGTGGGCCCCTCCCCTTAAATACTAATTTTTGAAATACCAATCCATGATTAAAATGTTAGATATTTTTCACTGGAGCTAAGTCATAAAGTTAGGGCATTTTGAAAGGTGTCTTTGTTTCTGTTTCTTGTTTGATATATTTTGATTACTCTTTTTAAAAACTTTCCATATAAAAAGTATCTTCAGATCATTGAATGCTTCATACATCCCAATATATAAAGCATGCCTCGTGAATAAATATATATAGAGTCTTGAAATAGATTGAGCTATGTAGCTTAATCTTTTCAGGGAAAGACTATTTGAATGATAAGGAATATCTTTGATTTTCTTTTTTTATGTCTCAAATAGAGAATTATTTGGGAGTGGTCACTCAGATGGAAGAATATCGGCAATTGTGTTGAACATTTTACCTTACATAGTTTTGAGTCTTTTTGCCAAAAACTGATTTCTTAGAAACATCCTCCCCTAGCTATGCTTTTTTTTTTTTTTTGAGATGGAGTCTTGCTCTGTCGCCAGGCTGGAGTGCAGTGGTGCAATCTCGGCTCACTGCAACCTCCGCCTCCTGGGTTCAAGCAATTCTTCTGCCTCAGCCTTCCCGGTAGCTGGGACCACAGGCTCGTGCCACCATGCCCTGCTATTTTCTGTATTTTTAGTAGAGACGGGGTTTCACCATGTTGGCCAGGATGGTCTCGATCTCTTGACCTCGTGATCCGCCCGCATCGGCCTCCCAAAGTGCTGAGATTACAGGCGTGAGCCACCACGCCCGGCCCCTAGCTATGCTTTTTAAAAAAATAAATAAAGGAGAGGGAGGCAGCCTCCCGACCATAAAAGCTGATTTCTTGGTTTGTTTTTTGTTTTTTGTTTTTTGGTGTTTTTTTTTTTTAGGTAGAGTCTTGCTCTGTTGCCCAGGCTGGAGTCCAGTGGCATGGTCTCAGCTCACTGCATCCTCCACCTCCCAAGTTCAAGTGATTCTCCTGCCTCAGCTTCCAAGTAGCCAGGATTACAGACACCCACCATAATGCCCAGCTAATTTTGGTATTTTTAGTAGAGATGAGGTTTCACCATGTGCCAGGCTGGTCTCGAACTCCTGACTTCATATAATCCACCCACCTTGGCCTCCCAAAGTACTGTGATTACAGATGCGAGCCACCGTACCCGGCCTTCTTGATTCTTGAATTTGTGGTTTTGTGGTGAAAGCATTTCATGAAACTTAAGTTCATACGCAAGAGCATCATGAGAGGTGTCTCTTTATGCTATTAATTTTTTTTTTGCCACAAAATTTACTCCTTATGAAATGTTTAAACCAGTGAGGAAAAATTCATTAATTACCTTTAAACCCTTCCTTATTTTTTAAGATTTTAAATTGTATTTTGGCTTTTGACTCCAGTATCCTTTCTGGTTGCTCTGGTTTGAATTATGTTCCTGTTATGCTGCAGCACACATCAGCCTTCCCTCAGTAACCATTTCCTGGAATGTGAAGCCTCGGTGCCATTAGCAGACCATATGCAGAAAATGTTGTGTACCTGCGTTTCTTTTTTGTGCACTCTTGAAGGCTGGTTGTGACTAAAATCAGCTTAACTTTTTATATTATGTTATTTCACTAACTGCTAGAGTCAAAATGATCAAATCTTTGTACAATAGAAAATTATTTAAATTTTATTTTTCTACTGACATTTCTAATTCTAGTGTAAATGTTTATCAATAAAAAATTACTTTGAATTCTGAGTTGGAATTATATTTCTTTTTTGGTGGCTGATGAGTTTAATCATTTGTAATAAAGTCTGACTTCAGTTTTCATTTTTTGAATAACTTAATATCTAATATGTGTAACTTTCTTTTATGTTCAACTTCTTACTAATTTATGGCAAAATTATTGTTCAAAGTTGTGATTAAACTGTACTTTTATGTGAACTGGAAAGTCTTAGTAACTCCACTTGCTGGGTCGTATATTGCCATCTAGAAGCTTTTGTATGATTCTACACGGAGATAGGTGAGTACTGATACAGTGTGTGAAGATTTTTTTTTTTTTTTTTTTTTTTGAGACGGAGTTTCGCTCTTGTTACCCAGGCTGGAGTGCAATGGCACGATCTCGACTCACCGCAACCTCCGCCTCCTGGGTTCAGGCAATTCTCCTGCCTCAGCCTCCTGAGTAGCTGGGATTACAGGCACGTGCCACCATGCCCAGCTGATTTTTTTGTATTTTTAGTAGAGACGGGGTTTCACCATGTTGACCAGGATGGTCTCGATCTCTTGACTTCGTGATCCACCCGCCTCGGCCTCCCAAAGTGCTGGGATTACAGGCTTGAGCCACCGCGCCCGGCCCGATTTATTTTAATAGTAAGTCTGCATGAAGAGAAGCTTCAAGTTTGGTGACATCATAAATCTCTCTGTTCTGCCGTTTTCAACCAACAGGACTGTCTAGGTTTGGTAGTTTACCTCATGGTCACAAGATTGCTACCGTTAACAGCAATTGCAGACACATACAGTGAATGTCTGGCAGGAGACCGCCCATCCATTCCTTCGCTCTAATTTTCTAAAATTGAGGTTTAACATGCAGTAAAGTGTACAAACCTTAAGATATATAGCTTAATGAATGAGTAACAGATCAAGTGGGACAGAATGTTTCTAGCACTCCAGAAACATGCAGAGTTCAGCCAGAAGCCCCCAAGACTGTGTATGTATCTGGGACCCAAAAGGGGAGGAACTTTGTTTCCAAAAAACAGTGATAACCTAAGGTTGGACAGTAGAAAGAGACAGTGGAAGATGTGGTACAAAGGTACCGAGATTGACAGGGAAGACACTTCAAATTACTGCCAAGGAAACAGAACAGTGAGCCAGAAATCAATCTTTAGGGAGAGGGAGGGATGAGCGCTGTTGGAAGGAGTCAGCTACTGCTTGGCTCTAGCCTGTTTCTGCTTTGTTCAGTAATTAACCCAATCTCGATAGATAATCATTT